AAAGAAAACCCCTACTCACCCAAATAGAGGCTGTTCGGACCCTGGTGGCCATCCCTACGGTCACTTTTGTGTGCTTCGCTGGAGGTGACAGGACGCAAGGGATACTAGAAGAGAGAGCACAGTGAAGAAAGCGGTCTCCCAGCAGTCCCCAAACCCAGGCGGGTCCGAGGCACCAGGGCTGCCTGCCATTCTCGGAGCTGAGGCTCCTTCCCGCCCACAGCCTCGGGATTCACCATCTCCACCCCCTCACCAACACACAGGTTAGGGTCAGGCAACAGCCCCGGGTCTGCAGCAGGAGAGAGTTAAGGCAGATTAGTTCTGTCCCGTCCCGCCGCCTTGGAACTGGAGGAATTCCGCGCCTCCGGCTCCTCCAAACCCTGAAGGGGCGGCAGGATAGAGTCCGGGGTGCTGCCTCCACCTCCGAATCTGCAGCCAGAAGGGTTCGCAACCACTCCAGACTCGGGTGACCCGGTGACCTCGACGGGTGATGAACGCTATCTGCGGAACAAGGCTCTCACCGTGGGCGCAGAGCAATGGCGGCCGTTACGTGTGTCGCACAGGAATTGCGTCATTGAGAGGCGAAGGCGAAAAACTACAACTCCCAGAGACCTCTGCGAGGAGTTAATCCGGCACCGGAGGGCCCCGGCCAAGGGCCACCGGGAGGGGGCGCGCTAAAGTGACCTGACAGCTCAGGCCCTCCTGGCACAGTCCCTGAGCTCCCATACTTGGGAGTTTTAAATTATAGAGAGAATCAAAATACTTGACACCAATTGCTCAACGGTTAGAGGGATGTAAATTAGGTTACAAGTATTCTAGCCCATGCTTTACTGAAATGGTAAAAGGCTTATTTTGCTTCACACTTTAATAACAAAGATTCATAAAATTCCCATTACATGTTAACATAAATAATATTTTAATGAAAATTACATATATTTTACAAAAGAAAAAATTGAGTAAGGAGTGGCTTCGTTTTATGTTTAAGTCTTTTCTGACTTACTAGAAAGCTGGATTCTCATATCTGCTTCTATGTTTAATCTGTTGCATATGTTGTTTTTGTTAAAGTATATAAAGATACAAGTCGAACAAGAGATAGGTTTGTTAGTGTACAATCTTAAGCCATGCAGATGCACTTTTTCTACTGTATTACATAAAATCCATTGGTCTACATTGCACTCTGAATGGATTCTTTTATCATGCATGATTTCATAACATCATGCATTGCCCAGTTGGAAAATATCAGTTTAGTGAGCTTTGCAGATCTTGCAAATGTCAACACATTTCATTATACAAAAAGAATTATTAGGCTGGTACAAAAGTAATTGCGGCTTTAATGGCAAAAGATGCAATTACTTACTTTTGCACCAACTGAAAATATCCACTAACATCATTATTGATCTTAAGTATTGGGAAGGGGTGACATTCACAAAGGCAGATACAAGTTTTCTAAAATTCTTTTGTTTTTGGCTTTTAAAAACTTTTATAAATTTATGGGATACAAGTATAATTTTGTTACATGCATCAATTGTGTAGTAGTGATGTCAAGGCATTTAAGGTATCCATGCCCTATTGTACGTTATATGCATTGTACCATTTAGGTAATTTATCATTGTCCCTGAAACCCCCCAACACCTTTTGAGTCTTCATTGTCTATCATCCCACACTCTTCATCCATGTGTACATATCCTTTAGCTCATACTTAAAGTGAAAACATGTATTTTTCTTTCTGTGCCTGAGTTGTTTCACTGAAGATAGTGGCCACTAGTTCCATCCATGATGCTGCAAAAGACAATTTCATTCTTTCTTATGACTGAATAGTATTCCATTGTGTATATATAACACTGCAAGCTCCGCCTCCCAGGTTCACGCCATTCTCCCGCCTCAGCCTCCCGAGTAGTTGCGACTACAGGCGCCCACTGATTTTTTTCAAAAAATCAGAGCGCATCTCCCCCTCCAAAGGAACACAGCTCATCGCCAGCAATGGAACAAAGCTGGACAGAGAATGACTTTGACGAGTTGAGAGAAGAAGGCTTCAGTTGATCAAACTTCTCAGAGCTAAAGGAGGAACTA